ACACCCGCCCCTCAGGTGAGCAGCCCCGACTCCTTTGCCCCCATGAGGGAAGCCCCACTCACCTGACTTGTCCCCCTGGAGTGAAAAGAGGCCCCACTTTTGAGTGTTGTGTGTCAATAACAGTGTTGTGTCACCGGTGGTCATGTTGATTAGTTGAAGAGAATAAGACTTAAAAAAAAAAAAAAATCTTGTTAAATCGGTTTAACCACAATCCCACCATCAACATCTGATCACCTTCAATATCTAACCAAATTCCTCATCTCTCACCATCTCCCAGGTGATATCTGATCAAAATGGCCTGCCTTCAGCAGGAATCCTGTTAGGTTAGTTTAGCCAGAATCTCCCTACCCCTGATGTTTCCACTCAGTAATTTTCTATCCACTGACAAGCCACCCCCTTCCCCACTTCCCCCCAACCCCACTATTGCTCCTTGGCTATAAATCATCATCTGTCCATTCTGTAGTAGGAACTGAACCCAGTTCTATACTGAGTGCTCTTTTCTCCTATTGTAATAGTTTCTGTAATACTTGTTTTTACTGCTGTAACTACTGTCCAGCTCTAGTATTTTGTGATACTAGGAAACTGGAACAGGATATGTTTACTTAAATACATGTGTTTACTTTCCATTTAACTATTAGACAGCATTTATCTATTAGGAGTAATACTTTTACCTCTGTCAGTAAAGAGCTAAAATGTATAAAAGCAAAGTTATCCCAAACCTGGTCTGGGACAAACCTTCTTTTGCTTGATGTCATTCTCCTTCTGGAAAGAAAGGAGGAAATGAGCATCCCTGACAAAATGCTTAAGCACGTTTAATGAGATAGAGACACATTTTGTGAAACTAGTTACTTACCCACCCTAGCTGACTCTCACGCAATTGTCAGTCAAGAGGCAAGTGGCATGTAAGGAAATACTCTTTTTAAAAATCTAGTCTAGGACTTCCCTGGTGGTGCAGTGGTTAAGAATCCGCCTGCCAATGCAGGGGACGTGGGTTCGAGCCTTGGTCTGGGAAGACTCCACATGCTGTGGAGCAACTAAGCCTGAGCACCACAACTACTGAGCCTGCGCACCACAACTACTGAAGCCTGTGCACCTAGAGCCCATGCTCCACAACAAGAGAAGCCACCGCAATGAGAAAACTGCGCACTGCAACGAAGAGTAGCCCCTGCTCACCGCAACTAGAGAAAAGCCCACGCGCAGCAACAAAGACCCAATGCAGCCATAAATAAATAAATAAATATTTTAAATAATAAATAACTAAAATAAAAATCTAGTCTAACAATAATCTAATTATTTCCTATTCCTATTTCCTATTATTTCTGTTAAAGAGAAAAATCACAGGCCCAAAATGGCAGCACTTGTGTTAAAAGCCCATGATTTAATACCTAACCTAACTGCAGTTTTGACCTTTCCCAGAAATGTAATCTTAATCAATCAGTTTGGAATTTGCTGGTCAGCACCAAGAGGTAATCTGTCACTTGGGCCCTCTCCAACTCCCGCCAACCCCCTAAAGGAAGAAGAAGCAATCTGCCTGACAAAACCTTTCCCAGCAAAAAGATGTCTTAGCCTAAAAATAATCCATTATTTTTTTTCATCAATAGCTCCCTTGTGCCCCACCCTTCTTTCTATAAAAACCTTCCCTTTTGTACAACCCTTCAGAGGGCGCTTCTAGTTCCTAGATATGATACTGCTTAAATTATGAATCACTGAATAAGGCCAATTAGGTCTTCAGACTTTGAACTCTGTTTTTTAACATTTCCTATTTCTATAAAGGATCAATTGCAAAATGGACTAACTAGCAGTTTTTCCTTTGCATGCAAAATTGTGATATAGCTTTGATATTTATTACCAACTTAGCGGAAAAGTTTTCTTTAATTAATGTGTACACTGTGTATTTATGTAATAAGCAGTTATGGTAGGGGGTCCTCAGAGAAAGAGATCCAGGCATGGTTTTCTTGACATAAGAGAAGCCATTTTAGGCCTAAGCCATTTTGTGATCTAAGCCTGGCCACAATGCTTGCCCTCAGTAATAATAATCTTAAGGGAACAAAAGAACAAAGTACTCTTATCAGGCAAGAGAAGGAACAACAACAAAGACAACAAATCAGATAAGAAAGACTTCCCAGATCTGTTTCAATGGTAAAGATTAGCCTGAAGCACTTTCTTGAGCTGTTCTGAAGAATTTAACCCCCCTCTAGGGCTCAACCACCATTATCTACTGGAAGCTAAGGGATGATGATGTTGACCTTTTCTGACCTTCATGACTTCAATCAACTAAAGCTTGGAACTCTGTTGACCTTTGCCCAATTCCATGCAGAATTCTCTGCTCAAGCTCTTTCATGAATATGCATGGACCCTTAGCTTAAAACTTCCCCAAGTTTGCTGTTCTGGGAGACACTGCCTCAGGAAAGATCCCCAGTGTTCTCCTTACTTGCTGCAAGTAATAAATCCTTCCTTCTTTGGCTTGGTCATGTCAAAGGACTACCATGACAATTTTTTCTTTTAATAATTTTATTCATAGGCTTTAATGATCACACTATTATTTGGGAAACATGTTTTTATCATAAATGAAATGGGAATGTCTATATCTATATTTTAACTCTATCACTACTTCAGTCTAAGACAGAAGTCCCTTAATAGAAGATTGCTCAAAAAAAAGGTCAAGTGAATACAAATGAGTGTCTGTTGCTTTTAAACCAAGACTTAGAGGATAGGGTCAAAAAGAATAAATAACTACTTAAGACTCCCTTCTTCTACCTCCTCCAAAAATAGATTCTTTTGCTCTTATGGTAGCTATTGGGGCCAGTTTTTGTTTTCTGACTGAGATAGTAATAGGAATGAGACAGGAGGGAAGGGGGCAGGGCACAACCTTTAAAAGAATGACACAGCCATTGAGGATGCAGGAAAAAAACTAGTTAGAACCAACTAGGTCCAAGATGGCAGAAGATTCAACTTCCAGTAGCCCTTGCGCCTCAGTACACGCTCATTGTAATATCAATACATTAGCTAAATGATACATCCACAGGCACCATGACAGCTCCAAGGCTGACCATAAAAGGCCAAAAAGTGGGCTGTGGAAATCCCTGCCCCTTGTCCAAGATAGTAGGAATAATCCTCCCACCTATGAAATTACCCAGCCGTAAAAACGATCCCCCCCACACCTCAGCACCACTCTTGCCTTTCGAGACGGACCACATTCTGACTATGGAATGTGTATCTCTCTAAACAAACCTGCTTTCGCTTTACTATGGCTCACTCTTGAATTCTTTCCTGCGCGAAGCCAAGGACCCTCACTCGGCGGCCTGTCCCAGGGACTCACCCAAGACCTGGGACATGACCATACTCGTGTGCCCCATTTTTCCTGCAACAGGAAGAGCATGAGGAAAGACTAGTTTGGTTAAAGTATTTTGAATGTCAAACTGGTATGTGTCAAACAGAAGAACCACCTCTATTTTGGTTACATTTATTTTTAAAAATAAAAGCAAACCAGGGGAACTCCCCTGGTGGCACAGTGGTTGAGAGTCCGCCTGCCAACGCAGGGGACATGCATTTGAGCCCTGGTCCAGGAAGATCCCACATGCCGCGGAGCAACTAAGCCCGTGCACCACAAATACTGAGCCTGTGTTCTAGAGCCTGTGAGCCACAAGTACTAAGCCCGAGTGCCACAACTACTGAAGCCCGTGTGCCTAGAGCCCGTGCTTGGCAAAGGAGAGGCTACCGCGATGAAAAGCCCATGCACCACAACAAAGAGTAGCCCTTGCTCACTGCAGCAACAAAGACCCAACACAGCCATAAATTAATTAATTAATTAAAACAAAAAAACCAAACAAGGGTTGATTATAAGAAAAAAGCAATCCTGTCTCACCAGAAGGTCTGATAACTGGGCAGAACTGCTATAGAATTTATCAAGAGTTGCTTTATAGAAGTAAAAATTTCAAGGTTGCTGAACTAGGATACTCTTACATATTCAAAAAAGTACTGCATTTTTTCTTTAAGAAAGAGGCTGTTTTATGATCCACTTGAATGACACCTGATGAACAAATACTATAAAACTTACTCCAAAAAATTTTGTTTTGTTTTCCTAAAAATCCTCTACATATAATCACAGAGAAATGTGACAACTATTGGATGCAAAAGGGAAGCTGTACTGGTTTTGCTTAATGCTTGCATCATCACAGAGATACAACACAAGTGGTGGTGCAATCCAGTGTCAGTATCATAATACTCGAAGTTAACATTTTCACCTTTGCTTCCTTTTTTTTTTTTAATAAATTTATTTATTTTTGGCTGTGTTAGGACTTTGTTGCTGCGAACGGGCTTTCTCTAGCTGCAGCGAGCAAGGGCTACTCTTCGTTGCGGTGTGTGGGCTTCTCATTGCGGTGGCTTCTCTTGTTGCGGAGCATAGACTCTAGGCGCACAGGCTTCAGTAGGTGTGGCACGCAGGCTCAGTAGTTGTGGCTCTCGGGCTCTAGAGTGCAAGCTCAGTGGTTGTGGTGCGTGAGCTTAGTTGCTCTGCGACATGTGAGATCTTCCCGGACCAGGGCTCGAACCCATGTCCCCTGCATTGGCAGGCGGATTCTTAACCACTGGGCCACCAAGGAAGTCCCTGCTGCCTTCTTTTGTTTTTTTCCTGATGTACTTGAAGGTACTAGAAAAAATCTCACTAGAAAATTTATCATCACCAGATAGTGTTATGAAATATGATCGACACTTTGGCAAACACTTCCCACAACTAAAGTTGAAGATAAGGTTTCCCAAACAGTTGTTTTACTAGGGTAAACTGGTCTAACCTCAAACAACAGGTAGCAGAGCAGTATTTTTTTAAAAGAAGGTCCTGTGCATTTGGAAACTAAGTCAAAACATCAGTATTGATTATACCAAGCCCAATCATTCAGACAATTAAATAGAGTAGTATATAATACAAACAAAAATACTTTATAAATACAATCTTTTATTTTAAACTTCTCTTTGTTAAAAATGAATCAGTAAGCATTCTGGTAATCACACCAACAAATATTTTGTTAGTTATAAGGGCAAGCTGAATTCAGTAACAAAAAAATACAATTATGTTGTAATATGAAACAAATAATTAAAATAGATTATTCTTACTTTGACTTACTTATTCAAAAACCACTGAAATCAAACATTTCATTTTCTACAGATTTATAATATTCTGCCCTGTACAGAACTAAAGAGAAAGTGATTCTGTATAATCAGCCATAATATGCACAGATTCCTAATGCCTCCAGTTATTTTTGTAAAACTTAGAACAATACCTAGTACAATGCCTAGTTGCTTCTAGTAGTCATTAAGATTTTAGTTGTGTTCCTTGAATTATATTCCGAATCTTCTCAGCATCATTTTGTACAATTTTGTTGGATGGATCAATCTTAAGGGCAGCTTCATAATCCTGTAGGCCTATATTTATATAGCAATGATGATGAATAAAATATTTTATAAATACTTGTGTTATCTAAACAATATTTTTAAAAAATAAAAAGAATCATTAAATCCATGGTTCAGCACAAGCAACGGGTTTTAGTCAGATTCCCATTTTCACATACATGGTCTCTAAGAGACTGAAGAAATTTTTCAGTAATTTCAGAAATAATTATGATTTCATTCAAGATTCAGTAAGAAGCAGTTTTTTTAAACTGAAATACAAATAAGCTAACAGCTTAAATTCATTAAAGCATGAATAGACTCAAAACTCATATATCAAAAGGACATTTTTATCACCTCAATGAAAAAGTAATAAATGCCATCTTCTTTCAGAATTCTAGATTTTAAAAAATAATTTTGGTAGACTCAATCCATACTTTATATAATTTATAGACTATAGTTTGTGCTCTCTTTTTTTCTCCTAACTATCCTATCTACAAAATTTCTTTGAGGAAAATTGGTTAAAAAGGAAAGCATTGTGGACTGGTTGTTAAAAATATATAACTGGATCTAAATCTTTAACAAAAATATCAGTGAGAAGAATTTCTAAGGAAACTTGACTTCCAGGTGCTATTGATTTGCCATGCCACTTCAGGCAAATCACTTAATGTCTCTAAGTCTCCATTTTCTCATCTTTAAAATGAAAGGAGGGTCCTTTTAGCTCAAAAAAGTCTAGGATGCTGCAATTCCTAAAGAATGCTTACAGTGTTTCATTCCTGTCTTGATCATTTTTATCCTCATGAAGCTGAATAAGACTCTTAAAAAAAAGGATAGGCATATAAACCTAATTTGGATGCTTTGGTTGGAAAAACCTAAAAATGGCAGAAACAAGCTTACAAACAAGTCAGAAATAATAAAACTTTATAAGCTAAAGCCAATTCCCTGGCAAGACATCATCAGGAATAGGCCTTTAGGCCTTGAATAAAGGGAAACTGAACGGGAATCTGGGTAGGGAAGTATGGGAAGAAGAGCACTGAAGATAAAACTCGGGGGCAATATGAGTAACTGCAAATAGTCCTTAATTACATTAAAAATGAAAAACAATAAAAATTAAAACAATAAAAATTAAATAAATATGGCTTCCATACACATGAGACTGAATTACAAACCTTAGTACGGTCTCACAAAAATAAGCAATTGATCATACATTGTGGTAGATCAGTTATTTCTGAGCTTATGAATGTATGTATGTATGTATGTATGTATGTATGTATGTATGTAGTGTCTGTGTGTCTGACCAAAGAAGCTCATTTTAAAATTTCCATTATATCTTAAGTGACTCATTTATCACACATCTTTCCACAAAAAAACTTGTCTGATACTACAGCATCTCCCTAGACCTAGGGAGATGTTTATATCTTGTGTTAATTCCCTTCTACAACAATGATTTTTTAAAATATTTCAAATCATCTTTTGTTTTCTCAGAAATTGCAAAGAATTAAATTAAATTAAATGCTAAAAGTATAAAATAATGGAGTCATCTTGAATAATGGCAATGACATTTTTTTTAGAGTATAACTTGGAACTTAAAACGTTTCTGTCATTTCTTACCTTCTACATACAATTCTAGTTGACAGAATGCTGTTCCACGTCGTACGTGTGCCTTCATTCTTGCATTAGCATTGTCTGCAACAGGTGGTGTCAATAATTCTAGTGCCTTACAAAAAGAAAAAAAAATAGGGAAAAATATAATTTCCTAATTTAAACTTGAGCAAAAACATGATAAAACTCAACTTTAAAACAAGCCTCAAGCCCTCACCCACCTAAATTTTTGGCTTAACTAGGACAGGAATTTATCAAATACATACATTTATGTTGAACAATTTTAGGACTTGTTCAATTGTTCCTATATGAGATTCATACCCTTGCCCCCAAACTTATGATTTAGTTTATCATTTGAAACCTCTACAGCTTTACCTTTACTAGCAGGGATGATTAAACAGCATTAATTTAATTAATGCTATTAATTATAGTATTATATATACTATATATAATGCTTTTATATTTAAATTTGGTGATTCCGTTTATTCATTCATTCAATAAATATTTGTTTGTGCCCGAAATTATGCTACTAAAAGGAAAACTGGATCACAAAAATATTGTCACATCTTCAATAGCTTAATGAGATCAAAATATGAGGACTAGGGCTTCCCTGGTGGCACAGTGGTTGAGAGTCCGCCTGCCGATGCAGGTGACACGGGTTCGTGTCCTGGTCTGGGAAGATCCCACATGCCGTGGAGCAGCTGGGCCTGTGAGCCATGGCCGCTGGGCCTGCCCGTCCAGAGCCTGTGCTCTGCAGCAGGAGAGGCCACAACAGTGAGAGGCCCGCTGCGTACCGCAAAAAAAAAAAAAAAAAATACGAGGACTTGATTGTTTCCTCCATATCCTCAATCTCAAGGAGACACATAAGAGATTTTGCATGTGATTTCCCTTAAAACAAGTTACTTTGATATGGGGGGGGGGGAAACAGAAAAAACTAGAAGTTTAAGATAATGACATGATATTCATAATGGAAATTAGAATATACTAAGTTACTCTGAAAATGGAAAAATAATCATGGAGATATCCTTTTACTGTGCAAGCGGTAGTGACACCAAGTGTTCTTCTATCTCGCATCAAGTCTGCAAAACTTTAATAAGAAAAAAGGTGAGCACAAACTGACAACCATTTACTAATTTCCTTCTGAACTTCAACTGATACACCAGGGCAATTGATAGGGGATCTCTAATCTAATTTGAAGTCTCAAGAAACACTAGTTCCTTGTCCATTAAAAAAAAAAAAATTCTTTTGGGGGGGAATTCCCTGGGGGTCCATTGGTTAGGACTCTGTGCTTCCAATGCAGGGGACACAGGTTCGATCCCTAGTTGGCGAACTAAGATCCTGCAAGCCACGTGGCATGGACAAAATAAAAAAAAAGAATTTTTTTTTTCAGTAAAAAGATGTAAAAAGCAAGATTCTTAAAATCCTTGCAACTCACTTATTCAAATTTAACTGACAAAAGATAAGGGCATCATTTAAACCAATAAATAGGAGCATAACAATTTTAAAGCACCATATATAAATAAATAGATACACATACCTTAGAAGAATCTTCTATGGCCTTGTGTAAGTTTTTCAGTTTTAGATGGCAAGCAGCCCGATTCAAATACAGTAGTGGAATCTTACTATTTAGTCTTATGGCTAAGTTGTACGCATTAATAGCTGCCAAATAGTTTTCTGTTGCAAACAATTTGCTAATGAGACGAAAACATAAAAGAAAAACAATGTAACACTAAAGGAGAAACACAGAAATAATATCTAATGATATTTGGCACAGGGGATGGATGGCCTCCTTTCTTTCCATTCCTTGTAAAATGGACATTGCGGGTGGCACTAAGCCCACCTATCCTCCATACATCAGCATGTAATCTGAACGGGACTGACCTCACCTCCACCTCCAAGGGTAGCCAATCAACAGCTTAAGCCAACAGGCATATTTCCATCCACCCTGCTACAATGATTGACAAAGGGATGGATTTATGACCTAAACTGGTCTATTGAGAATGAAGCCTGTGATTTTATTACCAAAGTGGGAGAACGAAAAATTGGGAAAACTCCCCCTGCTGGACACAAATGAAGAAAGCATATAAGCCCAAATTGTTGCTGACCATCTTTCATACTGTGGGAGGAGCTAGCACTAGAATAAAGTTGATACTATTGAATTATGAAAAGGATAAAAAGGCAGTTAAGCTGTTGGATCAAGCTTTACCCGAAATGTAACACACCTTTAGCTTTTTAGTTATATAAGCCAATAAATTCCTTTAAACATTAAGTCAGTTTAAATTGGGTTTCTCAGTTACTTGCAAAACAAAAGCATCCTAATAAATACACTCTTTCAGTTCAAACCTTCCAAAATTCTCTTCAAATAAAGAGATGTACATAATTAAAGGATGTATTTAAAACATAAAGCGTCTTGTTTGCTTTTCATGTACAGTTCCTGGTATTTCGAAAAATGCATAAACCAAGGAAAATAGAAAATACTTTGCCAAATATAAAAGTGCCATAAAAACAACACTTTGTACTTTGTATTCATTTCCAGTCGATTGTACTCTACACTTTACAATTCTAGAATAATAAACATGATGACTTCAAAAGTAGACCCATAAAAGGAGACAGCAAATCATGAATAAAAGGTAAAATGACACCACTGTGACATTTAACCTAAGCCTGACTCAAGTTTAAAATAACTTCCTCAAACTAGAAAAGCTAATTCTGTGGGAACAGTTTACCTTTCTGAAATGTCTCATTTCAGCTAGGATGTTTCTGACTGCAAGGAACAGAAGCTCAACTCAAACTGGTTTAAACAAGGAAGGAAATAGATCACCTCACATTAAACAAGTTCAGAGGGAAAGGCTCCATGCCCAATATGATCAGCAGAACAAGGATCTTATCAAGGCCTCAGGTTCCTTCCATTTCTCCACCCTACTGGACTCAGCAGCTACTTCATCCTGGAGCTGGTTTTCCTCATGCATAGTTCAAGGTGCCACATTCAGACACAATATTCATTAGAAGAAAATGGGACGGTATTTTCTGGTATATGCTCCTTGAGAGCAAGGAAACCTTGCCCAGAAATCTCCCAGTTCACTTCCTTTCCCATCTCACTGACCAAAAATATCTACCCTTAAAAAATATTTTGCCTTAAAAAAAAACACCAGTTTCTCCTGTTCTCAATCCTTCTACCCATTCTCTCTCTCTCTCTCTCTCTCTCCAGTTTCACTCCTCAATGCTATATACTGCTGTTTGGGAACGTTTAAAAAAATTCAACAATATGACCATCTGTCCATGTTAATAAATATAGAGATATACTATTTTTACAGACCACTCTCTCATTTGTGCAAGGATTTCTAAAACCAGTCTCCTCCTACTGAGAGACATTTAGGTGTTTTGTTTCCCGATACTTAGCTTTTATAAACAATATTATAATACACATTACTGCACATATACATAAAACACACACACACACACCAGCAGTGTAATGAAAGTAATCCTGATTTGTTGCAGTCAATCAGAATTTATAGCTGAACTTGGGACAGGGTCCCCACCCTAAGTCACATAGGCAAGGTCTACACACCTAAACAAAATAGGGACTCCGCCAACAAGGATAAAAGGAGATGATAAATGTTGGCTAGATAACCTATTGTGTCTACTACAAACCTTCTTTTTAAATTAATTTAATTTTAAAATTTACCACTTTAACCATTTTTAAGTGTACAGCTTAGTGGCATTAAATGCATACACACTTTACACACTTTTGTACAACCATCAGCACCATCCATATCTAGAACTTTTTCATCTTCCCAAAATGAAACTCTACACCTATTGAACAATAACTCCCCATTCCCTCCTACCTTCGACAACCACCATTCTTTTTCTGTCTCTGTGAGTTTGACTACTCTAGGTACCTCATATAAGTGGAGTCATATAAGGACAATATTTGTCCTTTTGTGCCTAGCTTATTTTACTTAGCATAATGTCTTCAAGGTTCATCATGTTGTAGCACGTGACAATATTTTCTTCCTTTCTAAGGTTGAGTAATAGTCTCCTGTATGGATATATCACATTTGTTTATTCATTTATCCATCAATAGACCCTTGGGTTGCTTTCACCTTTTGGCTATTGTGAATAATGCTGCTATAAACATGGTATACAAATATCTGTTTGTGTCCCTGCTTTCAATACTTTTGTGTGTATATCTAGACAGAACTGCTGGATCATATGGGAATTCTTTTTATTTTGGTCATGCTGCACAGCATGCAGGAACTTAGTTCCCTAACCAGGGTTCGAACCCGTGCCCCCTGCAATGGAAGCATGGAATCCTAACCACTGGACTGCCAGGGAATTCCCTCATATGGTAAGCCTATTTTTAACTTTTTGAGGAGCCTCCATACTGTTTTCTCTACTGTGCACCACCATTTTACATTCCCACCAACAGTGTTCAAGGGTTCCAATTTTTCTACAACCTCACCAACACTTGTTATTTTCTGTTTTTTTTTGTTGTTGTTTGTTTGTTTTTTTAATAATAGCCATCCTTCTGTGTGTGAAGTATTATCTCATTGTGCTTTTCATTTGCATTTTCTGAATGATTAGTGATGTTCGACATCTTTCCACGTGCTTATTAGCCATGTGCATATCTTTGAAGAAAGGTCTATTTAAGTCCTTTGCACATTTTTTAATCAGGCTGTTTATTTTTTGCTGTTGAGTTGTAGAAGTTCTTTATATGTATTCTGATATTAACCCTTTTCAGATATATGATTTGCAAATATTTTCTCTATTCCATGGGTTGTCTTTTCACTCTTTTGACAGTGTCTTTGATGCACAAAAGGTTTTAATTTTGACGCATTCCAAAATAACCATTTTTTCTTTTGTTGCCTGTGCTTTTGATGTTACATCCAAGAAATATGGCCAAATCTAATGTCATGAAGAATCCTATGTTTTCCCCTAAGAGTTTTATAGTTTTAGCTCTTATGTTTAGGTGTTTGATCCATTTTGAGTTAATTTTTGTATATGGTGTTAGGTAAGGGTTCAAATTCATTCTTTGGAATAAAGGCTGAAAATGAAATGAAAACTGGATATCCAGTTTTCCCAACACCATTTGTTGAAAAACAACATCCTTTCTCCATTAAATATTCTTAGCACCCTTGTTGAAAATCATTTGACCATATGATTTTCATATGTGAAGGTTGTTTCTGGGCTATCTATTCCATTGGTCTATATCTATATAAACCTTATATTAATACATTTATTTGGAGCTCCATTTTTCATCTTTAATATAAGTTTACAGTTTTATAATGTAACAGTTTTAACAGAAAAATTCTCCCAGATTCTAAGGGAAGAACAGCTTACAATGAGCAGTATTAAAAGAACCAGTGTAGCATGTAGGAAACAAACCAGTGTAGCATGTAGGAGGGAAAAGTGGGGAGAGGGATAAACTGGGAGATTGGGATTGACATATACACACTACTATATATAAAACAGATAACTAATAAGGTCCTACTGTATAACACAGGGAACTCTACTCAACACTCTGTAATGATCTATATGGGAAAAGAATCTAAAAAAGAGTGCATATATATATATATGTATAACAGATTCACTTTGCTGTAACTGAAACTAACACAACATTATAACACAACATTATAAATCAACTATACGCCAATAAAAATTTAAAAAAATAAGAGCCACTGTAGGAGGCATAATAGCAAGAAATATGAAGTATTAAACATTTTTAATGTTTACATATATATTAAAATATAAATCCAAATGAACATTATATTCTTTAAAGTTCAATACCAGTACAAACATCCAATAAAGCATAATTTGCTTTATGGCTTTCAGAATGGTTCTGAACTCAGAAATAGCTGAATTTCAAAAGGAAAGGGAAAAAAAATTAAACCTGTCTTAAGGGCAGTAGCCTTTGAACACCAAATTTAAACAGAGAAGCTAATAACCAGTAAGTCTCGCCTGATGGCTCCAAATAAAGCAATGCCAATGAAAAGAATCATGCAAAAGTACTCATTCAAAACATATTGAGTCCTTATGGTACTGACTGTACAGAAAGAACAAAAGAGACGTGGACAATTGCAAACACTCCTGTCATTTTTATGACGATTGATTGGCTTGACTTTGTAAAGAAAGAAACATTCTGATTGGCAATGGCCAAAAGGGCCAAACATTTTGAGCAACAGTTCAGCACAGGAGAAGCTACAAGAAGCAGGAGTGATAAGAAAGAAGCAATGTGGAGGGAAGTAAAGAAAGGGGCAGAAAAGAGTTAAGGGAAGTCAAAAGCAGTGGGGCTTACATTGATACTAGGTATAAAATAGATAACAAATGAGAACATACTGTATAGCACAGGGAACTCTACTTAATGCACTGTGGTGACCTAAATGGGAAGGAAATCCAAAAAAGAGGGGATATATGTATATGTATGGCTGATTCACTTTGCTGTACAGTAGAAACTAACACAACATTGTAAAGCAACTATACTCCAATAAAAATTAATTTAAAAAAAAAGAAATGACTAAAGGAAGCAGGATGTAGAATTTGTACGTTGGTAGTACTGTTCTTTTTATACTGAGATGTTACAGGTTATATGTCACACCGTCATTTTATATATAGTAAGAAAAAATCTGCCAGTTAAACTATAACAATGTTTGCTTATTTTAAAAAAAAAAAAGCAGTGGGGCTTAGAAACAGC